GAAAAGAAAAAAAAGAAATTTGTCTTATAATTTTTTGACAAGAAATTGGTCTCAGACACTTAGGCCCCATTTGGTTTGCCTTTTAGTTTTCAAATTTGAGTTTTGAATTCATTTTCAAATTTATGTTTTGAGGATCGTTTTTAAAATTGCAGAAATCTCATTTAATTTGTCATTCTTAAAGAACTGTTTCTCAAAATAAAAATTGTTAAATACTTTTGGTTTGGAATTTTTAGAAAGGGTAATTAGCATATAACGTTTCTACCTTGCATTGTTATTGTGAAAAATGTTATTACTTTCATTTTTTTATATTTTCACCATTATTTTCACTTTTCATTGAGTAAAATGTCATTTTTATCCATTTTTTCAATAAAAAATTGTGAAATGACGAATATATCCTTCTATTTAAATAAAATAAAAGAAAAAAAATAATAATTACAATCATAGTTCCAAATTTTTTTAAAAATTACAAATGAGTCCCAAATAAATTATTAAAATTGTAATTAGTCCATAATGTTCATACCTTTCATTATTATTGCAAAAAATTCACTGCCTTTTAATTTTTTTTGGCATTTTCAATTACACATTTAATTGCGTAAATCATTATTTCTATCCATTTTTATCAATTTTCTTAATAAAAAGTTGTAAAATAACGAATATACTCTCTTATTTTAATAAAAAAATTAAAGAATTAATTGCAACCATAATCCCAATTTTTTATTAAAAAAAAAGTGCAAAAGAATTTCCAATAAATTATTTAAAAAAAATTTTTTTAAAAAAAATTGCAAACAAGTCCCAATTAAATTTCTTTAAAATTTTTTTTAAAAAAAAGTGTAAAAGAATCCCAAATAAATTATTGAAGAATTAGAAATTAAAAAAAATATATATTTTTATTTAAACATGAGAGTATGTTCATTATTTTACAGTTTTTTATTGAGAAATTGGATGAAAATTGATGGAAATGATGATTTGCATAATCAAATGTGTAATTAAGGGTGAAAATGCCAAAAAATGAAAGGTATGAACGTTTTTCGCAATGATGGTGAAAGATATGAACATTATGTACTAATTACTCTTTTAAAAATTTATTTGAGACTCAATTTTCACTTTTTAAAAAAATTTGAGAGTATGGTTGCAATTAATTTTTCTTTTTTCTTTTTCTTTTATTTAAAGAGAAGTGCATGTTCGTCATTTCACAATTTTTAATTGAGAAAATAGATGAAAATGATATTTTGCGCAATGCAATGTGGAAATAATAGTGAAAATGCCAAAAAATAAAAGGTATGGACGTTTTCCAAGATAACAATGAAAAGTTGGGACGTTATGTGCTAATTACTCATTTTAGAAATTGTTTTATGACATTTATTCAATGAATATGATTATTTGGTAAATTTTAATAAATTATGCTAATATATTATCAAATAATATATGCATTTTAAGTGTTTGATTTGCCATTGGAAGTAGGAATTGGATTATTTCTAGTTCTCATGTTTTCAAAAATGCATTTTCAAAATTTCCAAACCAAACAAGTTATGATCTGTTTGGGCCCCTTTTTTGCCATAATGTATTTTGGAATAGTAATTTGATGGTAAATGTGAGGTTAAAAAAAAATTTTGAATTTGCATGTAATTTTATTTTATTGAATAATGTGGTTGAGAAGAAAAGAAAAAAAAAATGTTTTAAAATTAATGGGTATCAAGCATGCTCTTGAGAGTGTTTTACACTTTTACCAAACTGAAAATTGAAATCATTTTGAGAACAACCAACCAACCTTTCCTAGTTTTCGGGCTGTGTGCATTTTTAACATTATATAAGTGGATAATTAACTTTGCCCATGTTATGTCGAAAGGATTATGTTTTGTTCATCTAATTGAGAAATTTTAAAGATTTGGCAATGCACATTTTAAAATACAAAATTCAATTTCTACTGAATCGATGCAGTACAGTGCCAAGTTCATGCTCCTTTGGCTGTTTTCTACGAACATTTCCTTCAAATCAAACTTTCAAGTTCCTTTATTCTTAAATGTGATTAGTATTTCCTATGCACTTCTGCATTCCAGGGGTTCTTCCCAGGATAAGAAGAAAGTCGGAGACATTTAGGGCTCAGTATATAAACACGAAGGAAACCAGGTAGAATTTCATAGCATTTTGATGATAAATTACTAAAGCTAATTTACTAAGCTTTATTCTTTCTATTATGTCTTGGTCTTCTGCTAGAATATGCGCAGGCACATGGAATGTTGGAGGAAGAGTTCCTTCAGACGACATAGATCTAGATGGCTGGTTGGATGTTCATGACCCTGCTGACATATATGTAATTGGGTAAGTATGTCGCTTTATCGTTCTATTGAATGCTTCTGCTTGTAATCTACATTTGAACAGTCTCCCAGTTCATTTGTTTCACTTACGTCAGTTTCCAACAGTTAATTATAATGCCGATCTATTTCTATCAAGGCCGCCTACTGGAATTAGGTTAACTTGCATAGGAATCAATCCTGGAATCAGTCCTTAACGATCAAAGTCAAGTCACGAGCCTGTATTAAATGAAGTAAAATTATTGGTCTTGAGATGTTGAATTCCCTACACATTTTATGTAAAAATCCTCTTTTAAATAGCCACGTTTCCACTAAATATTTATTATGTGGCTACAAATTCGTTGGTGCTTCTTTTGATGCTTGCATTATAAACACAGTCTTCAGGAGATTATACCATTAAATGCTGGTAACATATTTGGCGCTGAAGATCAGCGCCCAGTTTCAATATGGGAAAACAGAATTCGTGAAACTCTGAACAGAATTCCTCAAGTCACTAAATTCAAATGCTACAGTGATCCTCCTTCTCCATCAAGGTTTAAGCCATATGAAGATGCCCCAAACATAGATGAAATCTTACAGATTGACAGTGACATTGAGGAAGAAATCTGCCCAGTAAATGAAGAATTGAACTTTGTTAATGAATTTAAGGTTGGAACGTTCACAGGAGATAATGTTGTTGATCTCGATGCCTCTGTTTCCATTGACAAACACAACTTGGGAATTTCAGTTGAAAAGGAGTTGCAACGCCAATTTTATTCTCCAATTAACCTGGACAGATTGTACTGCTTCAGGACAGAGGATTCTGAAGAAAATATAGCATTGCCAAGCACCCAGTATATCAATAAGTTAGCCAGAACGCTAAGTGGGACAGAACGGATTGGTTTAATTTGGCCAGAGCCACCTCTACATCTTTTGGGTCAGCATGTTTTAAGGAAAACTAATTCTTTCAAAGCCTCCAAATCTTTCAGGACATATAGTTCTTTCAAGCCAAACATGTCCGGTGAAAATAGAATGAGATCAGATATAGCTTCACTTGCCGTGCTTGACCTTGAGAGCCTGATAAACCGGAGAAAAAGGTCCCCTTACGTTAAAATAGTAAGCAAGCAAATGGTTGGAATTTTTCTTACCATCTGGGTTCGTAGAAGCATGCGAAGGCATATACAGAACTTAAACGTGTCTTCTGTTGGTGTTGGTGCTATGGGCTATATAGGCAACAAGGTTAGTTCCTTTTTTAAATCGTAGCTTGGAATTATAAAAGTACTTCTGGATGCTCTTATTACTTTGATTGGGAATTTATCTTGTTATCTACTATTAACTAACCCTCTGTGCTGTCATATACTTCAGGAAGTTATTTTCTTGTGGCAGTGCAAGGATATATTTTAGTATACGAACAGTGTAACTATATTTCATACTTGTCCTCTGAACATTAGTCAAATATAAACCTGCTCATATCTAGGATGAGAATATGTATTTCTGACTCAACGATCTAAACTTGAATTTAGGATGATAATAAACCAATAGCTGAAAGTCCTAGTCAAAATTTCTTCTGCAATCAGGATTCCCAGTAAAACTGCTTGTATAGTCGTATTCCTGTTTTATTGTTCTTCCCTTATCATTCAATTGTTTGAGCTGGCTGAACAAACAATCTAGTGAGCGGGAAGTATAAAAGAGGATGAGAAGTGTCAATCTTTAAGGTGACTGTTGATGAAGGTATTCATCTTAAAGTTAATTTTCAGGAATTTTTTGAGCTGGCAGGACAAACAATTTAGGGAGAAAGAAATATAAAAGAGGATGAGAAGTATCAATCTCTACAAGACTGAGGTTACTGTTTGTGAAGGTGTCCATCCTTGAGAAGTTAAATTTCAGATCAGCACTATAGGTCTTGAAGATTTTCCTGAAACCTTTAATGCTTCCAGTATATAAAGTTCTCGTGTTAATAAATTAGACTATTGATTTCTAGTTATGTATTGAACACACATCTGATGACTGACCAACATAATTTCTACTTTGAGGATTTCCTTGTCACCCTGTAAAACTCATAAAGGCCTTCTTAGTCGTTTGCTTTATTGTGGATGATGACGAATATTTTTTCTTTTTAGAACCATGATATTGTTGCTCTACTTAATAGAATGCTAAGTAGACAGAACTGACATAACCTGTTCTCCCAGTTTAGCTTAGCTAAGTTTTCCCATGTTTTGATGAGATAACATCAGAGAACAAAATAGCTAAGTTTGCTACTATTTTTGGTGCAAAACGAGCAAGCAATCTCTCTACACCAACATTCTTGAATCTTATCATTTTTGTGTGTTGCTAATACTGTTGTACTTTAAGAATATCCAAAAGGTGAATGTCCTGAAAAGAGAATCCTGGCAGTCCAGGTCTTGTTCAAATGTTCTTTTTCTAGATATCAGATAGTTCTATGATCTGCTTTAGGAAGTTCTTTTGTCACTTTAACCTCTCATTGCATCAAGAAAACGATCAATGCTTTGTGCTTCTTCAAATATCATAACTCTCATTTCTGCTTTCAGGGATCAATATCTGTTAGCATGTCTATATATCAGACGCTCTTCTGTTTCATTTGTACTCATCTCACGTCAGGTGAGAAGGATGCTGATGCAGCCAAAAGAATCGCTGTTGTCCAAGAAATACATAGACGGACTCACTTTAATTCGCTTTCTAGTATTGGACTTCCTAAAAGCATCCGTGAGCATGAGTAAGTATACGGAGTTCTACCCATCTAGACGAGGCATTTGAGGAGAAACTTAGATACTTGTATTTTGCAAATATTAGCGAAGTGGGGGAGATGAGTTGCTACCTGCTACACATACTAAAGGCAGCAATTAATGGAGGGAAATGAGATAATTTTTATAAATAATCTGTCACGAATGTCAAATAAAATTAAAAATTTAAAGAGTTGAATTTCAATGATGATTCTTGACCATTACCTGATCATTGTTTCTCTGATTCCATGCTTTAGTTGATTCTAGATTTTGAGGGTCTTCTAGAATGTTGTTTAATTTCAAATGCTAATAAATTGATAAAGGCTTTTTGCTCCGACCAATTTATTGAAATTTTCTGCTTGAAAGAAAGCTCATCTTTTTAGCTCAGCAACGTCTTTGTTCCAGCTTTCCACTAAAATGGAAGCTTCAATTTCGAATATGGGATTTGAATTAGATTCCTTCTATTTTCACCTAAATTTGTTTACGTGTTATAATTAACCTTGTGTTAGTGGATCTAAACAGTAGACTTGTAATGAAGGTGTTAAGGAAAGTTTACAGAGTTATGATTTTAAATTCCAAGTGCTGATATTTGAATCGACACCTCCAATTTTCATATTTATAGCTCCACTTGAAATCACTTTTATGTGAATAAACCTCCATTTCATTACCCGATTTTCTGTAACTTTCTTATCTGATTGCAGGAGGATAATCTGGCTGGGGGACCTAAATTATCGTATTAATTTGTCATATGAGAAAGCAAGAGAGCTAATTTTGAAGGAGGACTGGGCTAAGTTAATGGAGCATGATCAGGTGATTTTTTTATTTATTTTTACCTTATCAATTAATTTTCTAGAACCAGCTGAGGCAACTCATGCATGTATATGCACATAAATATTTTTTAGAGGAATACAACAAAATCACGGAAAAACATTAATAAGCCAAAAGGTGTCGAACTGAAATGTACTTTTGGCTTATATTTTGATTTAATTAGTATTTGTATAAAGAAAAAGTCGGGTCATATGTTATTTTTCATATTTTCAAATCGATGTTGACGCCTCTCTCTTTTGGCAGCTCGTCAGAGAGCTTAGGAAAGGTCGGGCCTTTGATGGATGGTCTGAAGGTACTTTGAACTTTGCTCCAACTTACAAATATCAGACAAATTCAGATACTTACTGTGGAGAGGATTCAAGGGCTGGGAGGCGCACTCCAGCATGGTATATATGTAGAACTTTTGCTTATCAAGGATCTTGACACTTCCACTGAAATATATCCCTATATTGTTTTTTAAGATGCAAGCACTATTCTCTTAAAATACATCCACAGAGAATTGTGTGTCTCCTTTTTTGTCTCTATTCTTTTTATATTTTGTCGACTAGTCTTGAGCCTGATAGAACTAATTGTAGTAGCATTGCTCATTTGCTTGCATCTCTGATTTTGTTGTACCTCTTACTAAATCTAAATTTCCTCTTAATTTTGCTTCTCTTATTTAGGGCTTGTTTGAGCCCCATTTTATCAAAAATTCATTTTTTCAAACTCATTTTCAACCACACATTCTCCAATAAAATAATATTACATGTAAATCGAAAAAAAATTCTTCAGTTTTAAGCACACATTCTCCAAAAATCACTATTCAAAAATGCATTTTTTCTCTCAAAATGGGGTTCAAACAAGTGCTTATGTTTTGGGGTCTTTGCACAACTGTGTCTTATCTGCGTAATATTTTAGAAGATATTCAGGGTAGGTAGACTGACATGGCATGAACTAGTTTGGATGTTTTAGAAATTACTTTCCCTATACAGAATATTGATACCTATTATTCTTTAAAACTTTTCCTTTTTTATTTGTACATCTACATTTGGAGACTGAGGTTTGTCTTCTTCAAGAGAGAATAGTATTTTTTCTGTAGTTAAAGAAACCAATATTTTTTGAAGACGTGAGGGGCTTATTCTACAGGCCTGGTCTTTGAAAGAAAAGAGTAATTCTTGAAAGTTACCACGAATTTTTTGAAGACACGGCAGCCATATATGGGCATTGATTTTGGAAGAATAGAATAGTTCTCAAGATTATCTGTAATATTGTTATATATGTGCGTGCTTCTTTTTCCATATTAATATTCATGTGCATGACTCTGTAAATATTCCATATATGCAAGAATATTCAAAACACTGGTTAGATATACAAATCTTTAGTAATTTTTCTATTATTCACTGTTATCTGCTAATTGCAGCATTGGTTTGACTAATATATAGATTATCATTTATATGTACTGGATAACAGTTGTGCTCATCACATGAAGAAGGAGCATGTTTCGTGTCTTTTACCTTTTATGTGAAAATCCATCTCTTTATTCATGTAATTTTAGTGAAGTGTTTTTTAACTTCCTTAATTTACCGAATTGGTGTGTTCATAATAATCATAACTTGGCGCAACCTTTCATTTCTACTTACTGTCCAGGTGTGATCGCATTCTCTCTCTTGGGAAGGGAATGAAGCTTCTAAGCTATAGGAGAAGTGAACTTGGGCTATCTGATCATCGACCTGTGACTGCCTCTTATATGGTGGAAGTTGAAGTATTTTCTCCAAAGAAGTTGCAACGGGCACTCATTTTCACTGATGCAGAAATCGCAGAATTGAACTAGATGGAAATTGGTAGGGATTTGAACCTGTCAAGATCAGGAAAGGTGAGTACTGTACCTACATGGTAATGCGTTTCAATTTTACAAAATTCGTGTGACAATCTTTTTCTGTATCTGTGTGTGACAATCTTTTTTTGTATCTATGTGCAAATATTCGCTTCTCCTGTAGTTGCCGTGCGATAGAACATCAGATTAAAAAATTATGGCATTTTTGTAAGGTGGATTAGATCGCATTAAACATTATGTAGAAAGAAAAAAATAAGCTAAATGTTATTCATTGTATTTTATACATGATTATCAAGTGTAGCTGATGATCATTTAGAATCAAACCCCGAAATTGAACGCAAGTCTTAGTTGGCTTTTGTGTATCTCTGTTACTTAACTTCTCTTCCGTATATTTGTATTGCATTGGATATATTACTGATAAACTGTTAAAAATGCGAGTGAGTACATTCCTAACAACGTTCAGAGAAGGACGAAGAGATAAGAGAGCATCCATGACTTATGGAGCTCCCGGGGTCGTTTTCTATTGATTGTTTATTGCACCGTGATTAAGCTTTCACATGAAGTGGTTAGTTTGTCATTGTCTTTGCTGTAAATTCTTATTTTCCTTCCATTGTCACATTGTAAGGTATTATTTCCTGTTTACTGAAGGCATTTTGGGTAGCAACTGTATGCCAATGTATTATAATCAGTAGTTTTCTAATGAAATTACAGGATGAGTTCTAATGAGAGATGTTAAAGATGTACAAGTATTTTCCTGATCTTTTTGTATAATCACTTTCATAATACTTCGATATTTTAGTTATAATAAATTTTTAATATTTAATATAATAAGTGTAGTTATATATGAAAAAACCAATACAAGTTTTTCTACTATTTCTGAAAAATATCTTTAGTTCATAATTTGTAGTAGAGGAAAAGAAAAAAAAAAGTTTGTATTTCTTTCATAATATTGTGGCTATGTAAATAAAGTGTTACGAACTTGCTATCGAAAATTTTGCCCGATCAGAATATGAATCATTGAGATATCACAGTTTATTACAAATTATGTAAATTGGTATACATATGTCTATGTACTTTCTGTTTTGGACTTTGTCCCCAACCTTGATACTCCAAAAAGGAAAAAAAGTACCCAAGTCACTAGTTGGAATTAATTATTTCCACCCCATCCCGCCTGTAAAAAAATTTCAAAATTGAAGACTTTTCTCGAGATTACACCCCATTCCACCCAATCCAACCCAACTCAACTTGTAAATTTTGTTCAAAAATTAAAAATATTTTATGAAATTACACCTCACCCCGGAATAGGGATGTCAACGAGTCGAGCTAAGCCAACCGTGAGTTGAAACTTTTTGTTCAAGTTCGACTCGAGTAATAATGGTTCGAACTTTTTTTGATCAAAGTCGATCAGAGCAAAAGCTCGCCCGAAAAATTTAGGCTCGATTCGAGCTTTTGGCTCGAGCCTTAGCTCCTTTTTTTTTAATCGTGACAAATCTAAAATTTTTGTAAAGAATTTAAAATTTGTGCAATGTATATGTATTATAAATAATAACAAAATATTAACATATAAAAAAATTATTTCTAAAATTAAAAGCAAAAAAATTAATATAATAAGTGTAGTTATATATAAAAAAACCAATGCAAGTTTTTCTACTATTTCTGAAAAATATCTTTAGTTCATAATTTGTAGTAGAGGAAAAGAAAAAAAAAAAAAGTTTGTATTTCTTTCATAATATTGTGGCTATGTAAATAAAGTGTTATGAACTTGCTATCGAAAATTTTGCCCGATCAGAATATGAATCATTGAGATATCACAGTTTATTACATATGTCTATGTACTTTCTGTTTTGGACTTTGTCCCCAACCTTGATACTCCAAAAAGGAAAAAAAGTACTCAAGTCACTAGTTGAAATAAAGGCATGATACATAATTTAAAAAGTTTGTTAATTTTAAAATATAATTCTTATATGTAGAAATTATGTATCATGCCTTTATTTCAACTAGTGACTTGAGTACTTTTTTTCCTTTTTGGAGTATCAAGGTTGGGGACAAAGTACAAAACAGAAAAAATATATATATAATTGGAATTAATTATTTCCACCCAATCCCGCCTGTAAAAAAAATTTCAAAATTGAAGACTTTTCTCGAGATTACACCCCACCCCATCCCATCCCATCCAACCCTACTCAACTTGTAAATTTTGTTCAAAAATTAAAAATATTTTATGAAATTACACCTCACCCCGGAATAGGGGTGTCAACGAGTCGAGCTAAGCCAGTCGTGAGTTGAAACTTTTTGTTCAAGTTCGACTCGAGTAATAATGGTTCGAACTTTTTTTGATCAAAGTCGATCAGAGCAAAAGCTCACCCGAAAAATTTAGGTTCGATTCGAGCTTTTGGCTCGGGCCTTAGCTCGTTTTTTTTTTAATCGTGACAAATTTAAAATTTTTGTAAAGAATTTAAAATTTGTGCAATGTATATATATTATAAATAATAACGAAATATTAACATATAAAAAAATTATTTCTAAAATTAAAAGCAAAAAAATAAAAAAAGAAGTGGCTGTCTGCATTCCAGGAAGCTGTGTTGTAAGCATTTTTTATTTTTTTTTTAAGTTTTGTAATTTTCTTCTCTTCTTTTTTTTTTTTTTTAGTCCCAAGGGCCGAAAATGGCCCGTGTCGAGCCACACGGGCCAACTTGGGCTCACTGAGCCACGGACCGCCCGAGTCGGTTAGCCATATTGACATCCCTACCCCGAAACCACCTCCACCCCAACCTTTAAAAAAAAATTAAAAATTTAAAACGTTTTTTGGAAATTACATCCCACCCTCATGGAATTAACCTAAATTTGTGATTAACTGTGTTATTTGTGATCAAAGATGTGTTATATGTGACTAATTGTAATCAAATTTGTCTTCAGTATGACTGTCTGTGATCATCTAATTTGTCACTGTATGTAACCAAATAACTAACTTGTGTTATCTGTGATTAATTGTGATCAAATTTGTTTTTAGTGTGACTGTATGTAACCAAGCCACTAACTCGTGTTATTTGTGACTAAATGTAAATAAATTTATCTTCAATGTGATTAAATGTGACCAAATTTGTCTTTAGTGTGTCTGTGATTAGGTCAATCTTAACTGGGACGATATGTGATCAAGTCACAATCAACACATAATTTATCACAACCAATCACAATAAACACACAATTGATCAAAGAGGGTCACAAACAAATACACACACCGCATACCAGTACCATAATTCACCTCCAGTCACCCCATCGTCACCTCCAATACACGACCACTACCATAGACATTAATTTGCAACCAAGTATAATTAAAAGTTTCAGTAAAAATTTGATCTCAAATCTCAATTCATGCACTACTAAGCAAGAAACTCACCTACATGAATGGGATTAACAAGTATAGACTCTTATTCCCTGTGCTCACTAGGTATAACATCCTTCAATTCATTTAATCAAGAGGGTCCTATTAATCTTATCGTCAGATAACAAAAATTCAAACAGCGAGGACTTCGTAAATATCTGGAATTTACAAATTTTAGTCTCATTCGTTTTAAAATTTTAATAGATAAAACGCAATTGCTGCATTAATTACTTTATGTACGTTTCTGGACCCCCATTTCAAAAACTCAATCTCACCTTAGTATTCATAATTCTCAACATCGTATTCTATCCATTCCACGGTATTAAAATTCATTTTAATATAAATACAAATTCCCCACTTCCCTCTCAGATAACCCAAAAACACAAAAATAATAATGACTACAGTTCCCTATTTCTGCTTTCAGTCTATCGGTCTCAAAAATTACTCAAAGCATCTGTAAATTATTTTTTAAGATACAAAAAGTCAACATAATCATACATAAATAACAATGTTTTAAAAATTGGACCGAACAGATGGAATAAAGGACGGATCCAGGATATTAAGTCAGCTATGGCGGTCTCTAATGACCGCAATAATAAGATTGTTTATTAATATTTAATTAAATAATGTAGGCGAAAGTTATGCAAAATTTTGAAAATAATGATTTTTAAAAGTAAAATTATTTTTCACCTCAAAAGATAAAGTATTTTTCGAACTTTTAAAAGAATAATAAAAAAAACACTTAGATTGTCCAAATTTGAATTTTATAAAATAAATTAATAAAACCTAACAATAAAAATATATATATCATAGAGTAATAATTTGATTCGATAAATTATTTAAAGAAATTATTTCGAAAACGAAAACTAATAATATATAATTGTTTAGTTATTATTTGTTGTAATGAAAAATTAAATAAAAAGTAGAAAAGTAAAGAATTGAAACCTATATCACTAGTGCACAAAATAGCCCATTTACCATATGGGCTACCCTTGTTTTTGTTAAACATTGGTATAATTATTAGTTAATATTTAATCATTATTTACCGTGTTTAAAAATTGAAAGGGAGAATGTTGTTGAAGGAAATCGAAGTAATGAACCCAAGTCTCCCACAGGGAAAGGTATCCTCCCTTCCAGTTGATCTACACAGCAATTCACTAAAATCTACACGATTAATTATATATATAATTATTTTTGATAAATCTTATTTAATTTTTTTCTCCAGCAGATCCAGCACGGGCGGCCACCTCGGCTCGCTGGGTGCTGGATCCGCCCCTGGACAAAATCGACCTGAAAAATCGGGAACCAGTCCAGCGACCATTTCGGTTGTCGCCAGGTATCGGTGATATAGAAATCGGTAAAAATCCTATAAAATGATCTGTTCGACCCAAAATCGGTGAACTAGACACGATTTTAACAAGCTCTCTGGCTACTTTGAACATAAAAAATAAAAAAAGAAGCTAAATAAAAGATTTGCAAACGAAGCTTCCTTGATTCGCCCAAGTTATATGGCAGATCATCTATCAATTTATATGCACTTATATATGAAAAAGAAGTCACCAGAAAAAAATGAGAAAGTAGAAGCCATAGGAAAAAAAAGTAAGAAAGAAGAAGCAAACCGGTTGCGCCTCTCCCTGTGAGTCCCACTTCTGAGATGTTTTCTAGGTTTAACAACTCTTGGGCCTTTCATCATACCCCTGTTATAAGTGAACACAGGAAGATCAGGTAAACATTTGACGATTTTCATTGAGTAGGGTCCAACATGCATTTAAATTGAACGTTTGGGTTTTGAGGGAGAAAAATATTTAAATTAAGTGGGGACTTATGTGCTTCAAGTTGTAAAGTTTGAGGACCGCATCTGCAAATTTCCCTAAAATGAGAAAAGTGTCAGGCAAAAGATGTGTTAAATGAGTTCAGTTATCAAATTTATCTTCTTCAAACTGAATTCTAATTTGACTGCTCGAGTCGAATCAACCATCTCACAAGATTTGAGTAATCGACCTTTATCTTATAAGAAGTTTTTAGCAGCTCCCAAAGAAAACAAGAATTAAAAAATGTGAAGTACTCGATACAAAATGTACAACAATACTTGTAGGAAATCACATAGCAATTTCAAACATCTACAAGGAGATGGTCATTTTCAAATATGATTAGAAAATGTCAAAAGTCAAATGGTGAAACGGCATCAATGGCAAAAGTTTAAATTAAATTTGGTATGGAAGGACGATGGTAGTGAACTCACTGTTCATACTGTAAGAGCAAAAAGTAGTGTCTGAAAGGAACATGAAAAGATAGGAAAAAAGAAAGTCGAGGACGAGAAGTGATGACGAAGGTGATGGACAATGACAAAAACAATCTTATTGTTTATTTGATTAATATACTTGATAATTTATAAATGCTTCAGTCGTTAAATGTAAAAACTAATATTACGAATTTTTGTAAGGGGAAATTCAAATATGATGCCAATTCTTGCAAAATCGCATAAAGATTTTTCCTTTTATAATTCTATTCAATTTGTGAAGTTGCGAAAAAATCAGTGCACCAGCCGGGAATCGAACCCGGGTCTGTACCGTGGCAGGGTACTATTCTACCACTAGACCACTGGTGCCTTTGATTACGAACAAATTTCATTGTCTAAAATAGTTAGAAATTTAACCGTCATTTTTTTCACAATTTTCAAGTACGTATAAAAAATTCATAAACAAATTTCAAAATTTTATTATTTTAATACAATTTTTTTTTTCTCAAAAAAAAAGGGCATAGAAAATATTTATTTTGAATTGGAGTTTACATTATATGGATTTTATAAAAATCCATATGTTAAAAGAAAATTAAACTGAATGCTTAGATTAGCTAGAAACTCTATGGAGCATTTCCATAAGTCGAGCTTGAATCTTTCGTGTTGCCAACTTGGATTAAGATAATAATTATAACATATTTGACCCGACTTTGGGGGTGGGGGGTTATTCACGTGGGTGTATGTCAATCAAAGTGCCAAACATTTTTTTTGGCAAAAGAGCTTTATTGTATTTTTTTCAACTTCATCTAGAGTCGTACTAATAAAAAATTACATTTTTGACTTATTTATTTAGCCCATATTTGATTCTGATTAAAATCTAATTTTAATTTTAAGTCAAAGTCAACAATTAATTTTAACTACACATTTTGTGGGGTCCACAACTTTTCAACCATACATGACACATTTTCTCGACATTTGTCAAAAACTACTAAAAATCTGATTTTAATCTACATCAAACATGAGCTTAGCTAGGCCAAACGTGCTCTAATCACTTCAAGCCCTATTTGATTTAGAGAAAAAAAAAATATTTTTTTAGCAATGAAGCGTATGGCTGAAAAATTGATAAAAATTGTGAGTTTCATGAAAATACTGAAATATAAACAACAAATATATAAGGGTTTGAACTATTTCTCTTAATATATTCATCTTTTAAGATGAAATTTCACATTTTAATAGTTGTAGATGAAGAACACTATTTTTTCCTTCATTTAGGACAACAAAAATATCTTCCCTATTCAATTAAATCCATATGAAACATTGGTAACAAAATAAATAATTGCTAATAGATACAAGAAAAGAACTATATCACTATAATTAAATTCTATAAATGGCTAGATAACGTATTCGAAAAAAACTTTATAAAATTAGCATAGACGTCTTGATCATACGTGTTTGGTTCATGAAATGTCTATGTATGCACGCTCGTGTTTATCTAAATTCTTCGTATTCACACTACATCATTTGTTGCCATTATCCAAAATTTGTTGCCATCAGATGTCCATCATTTGTGAGAAATTATTGAAAATACCCAAAATTGAACAATAGCCTTTTCGAAATACCCCTTTATCATTTTAAAAATTTAAAGTTCCTAAAATACCCTTAATATAAAAGGTTTTAAAACAAGTCATTCTAATATTAAATAAATTTCATTTTAGTCCTTCAAACTTTAATTTTAATTTAGGATTCGACAAATTGTTTGTCCCTTGCAATAAAAAATTAACTTTTCTTTACCATCAACTCTTTCCACCTTTCTTGAGTCCAAAAAATTTGATATTGATTAATAATTTTATTTTTGAATTAATAGTATTTTTGCATTTTAGGACCATGTATTAATGGTATCAGAGTCATATATTCTGAGGAGTTAAAGTTATAAGAAAATGAAAGATAATAAAGAAATTTGCGTAGAATGGTATGTTGACGATTTTACGGAATACTTAGATACTGATTGTTATATTCAAAATTTTGTTAATAAATCAAGAAATTTAATTGANGTATGTTGACGATTCTACGGAATACTTAGATACTGATTGTTATATTCAACATCTTGTTAATAAATCAAGAAATTTGATTGAAAAATTAAAAGACTCAGATAGTCTTAAAATAACGGAAAAATTTGAAAAGAAATTACTTTTCTTTTAATAGATTTTGATGAAGTTTTAGATGAATACTTAGGATATCTTGTTAAAATACCTATTCACAATGAAATGAGAACTTTAAAAAAAATTCAAAAAATTCTTAATAATGAAATTAGGAGAATTGAAGAATCAGAACTCTAGAGATCATGGAAATTGAAAATTCAGAGGATTTAGAAACTGAAGTATATGAACGAGTAGAAGGATATGTTTTAAAAGGAAAATTTGATTGGGAAAAATTTAGAAAAATCAATAGAGCAGAATTAAATCTAAAACCACCTGGAAAAAATAGATTATTTAATATTTTAGGATCAGCCTTTAAAAGAAAGAAGTTAGTTATTAAGAAATATCATGAAATAGAAAAAGTCATAGATATTAAACTTATACAAGGAAAAATAAAATTAAATCTAATAACAAAAGGAAATATTAATGAATTTTTAGGAAAATTAAAGCAAGAAAAGAGAAATAAAATATTTTATGTCTACCTTGTTGGAGTACAAATAATAATAAAATCATGTTTTAAAGAAGGAATTAATAGTCCTATAATACTTAATTTACAAGATGAAAGATGTATAACTGTAGAAAATGGAGTGCAACTTTACAAAGTTCAGTGAGTGATGGGATGCAACTTAAAGTTCAGTTAGTGAAACGTGACACTTTGTAAAGTTCAGTGACCGTTGAAACAATTAACTCTTCTTTTTATCTTATCACTTCAATTCTTTATATTTTTAGCTGGTTCTCTCTCTTTATTTTTTATTTTTTTAAAATTTATACTCTTTCGTCCCCAACCTTTGCAATCTATTACTAATCTACCCTGAATGTTTTTTTACGACTAGATATCCCTAACCTTTCACCAAATAACAAATCATGTCTCCATACCATTGTCTCATCCACGTACACCGTACATGTTATTTCACTTCTCTTACTGCGTCAGAGACCAATGAAACCCAACTTTACGGTTGAATATTGCCCATTAGAGGCTTTGGTGTCTAGAGCAAAAAAGGAGGTTTGGTGTCTAATGCTAATATGCACACGAAAAGTTGGGGTTTCAAACTTGAAAGGAAGCTTTTTGTGGATGTACCATTTGCCCCTTTCGATCTTGGGAAGAAGTGAAATAATGCGTGGGGTGTATGTAGGTGAGATAACGACAATTTCTCATGGATTCTGTGAATGAAGACGTGATTTGCAATTAAGTGAAAGCTAGGACTATCGAAGGGCAAAAAAAAAGTTAAGCTATAGCAGTGACAGATTGTAAAGGTTGGGGACTAAAAGTACAAATTTCCCTCCTTTTTTTAGAATAAAATAATACAAGTCCACTCTACATAATTTTTACAAATAAATTTATTCCATAACCCAATAGTTTTTAGTCATTGCAGACAAGTGCCCTGTCATGTCATGTGTTTGTTCATATATAAATGGAAGATTAAATATTATTCCAATTATACATGGCTAAGGTCAAAGGTTTCTTGTATGGTGTTTGTTTTGTAGGCTCAATTGCTCTTAATATCTTCTTTGTAACCAATTATCTTTTTGTTGGTTATGAGAGTAAGCAGTTGAGTTGGAGCCAAAGGGCTGCTGCAGAAGCTGAAGCAGTGGCCTCAGTCTCATGCTCTGGCCATGGAAGAGCATATTTGGATGGCTTAATTGTTAAAGGGAAACCAGTTTGTGAATGCAACACTTGTTATGAAGGCCCTGACTGCTCTCAATTCTTGCCGGACTGCGCTGCTAACGCAGACGGGTACGAATCCCTCCTCCTCTATATAGTGTGTGTGTGTGTGTGAGTGACAAAAATTACACCGAGAATTGGTACACAACCATCGTGCACAAGTCCGGTCGGATCATTTGTTCCCAAAGGACCTTCCTCAATAGACTGAAAAGGGTCATGACAGAGATTGTTTTCTATATCTATGGTTTTCAAAGCGAACTCATTTTCTATCAAATTTAGACGAGGCAGGCAAGAACTCATCATCTGGTAATGAATTGTTGATCATAATTTATTTTAAAAACCTTTTTTTTTCCTTAAAATTCATTTGACAAAAAGTGGGATGCCACCAAATTAATTGAAGTTTGTTAGGTCCAAATTGTATTGGCTAGTTTTGTATTCAAAACCGTAGTTTATTGAGTTGTAATTAAGATCAAAGAGTTGGGGCTGGGAGTATATTTTGAAGGAGTCAAAGACAGAATAAGGAGAAAAAGTCGCTGCAAAATCGTTAGATTCATGCCTAACCACCGCTTGAGCGGTTTTATCTGTAACTCCACCGCTCGCTGTTCGCACCATAAGTTTTACTGGGTCAAAACACGTTTATTTTAAAGTTCAACCAATATGTATTATATGACAGATTCAATTGTCAGCAGTGGCCTAGAAATAGACCACTTGCCAACTTATAATCCTGTTAAAGATAATATTGATGATTCTAATATAGTTGCTGACTTGACAAGGTGAATTTTACGGCACTAGAGAGTATTAGAAAAAGAAAAAGTATTCCTTATGTCGAGTTAAGCGTACCAAATAACAGAGCTTGACAATTAAACTTTTCTAATGCAGTGGGGATCCATTATTTTTGGAGCCCTTCTGGATGCAACATGCAGAGAGCAGTGCAGTCCTAGTTGCAGGATGGTACAGAATGAGCTATGTATTTGCAGATCAAACTTCAATATCACAAGTGCTTCAAAACCACATTCTCAAAGTCCATTCCATTGCCAGAAATGCAATTACGAAAGGAAAATACATTGTTTTTGGTGTTGGTTCCACTCAACTCCTTTCAGCAGCAGTTTTTGCTCTTTCCCTCAATTTGTCGTCACCTGCAAGAGTCGTTGCAGCATCGCCTTATTATCCGGTTCGTATATTTACAATCTTCACTTTCAATAGGGAAAATTATCGCAAGTATTAAAAACTTGGATGGTTCACAGGTATATAAAACGCAAACGGACTTCTTCGAAACTGTTCACTTTGAGTTTCAAGGAGATGCATTGGCGATGAAAAATAGTTCAGATTCTGCTGGAAATGTGATTGAATTTGTAACTTCGCCAAATAATCCAGATGGCCATTTAAGAAAGGCAGTTCTACCATTTGCGAATGCCATTTATGATCGTGCCTATTACTGGCCGCATTTTACAGCAATTCCTGCACCAGCAGATGAAGATATCATGATTTTCACAATTTCCAAGCTCACCGGCCATGCCGGAAGTAGATTCGGGTAATCGCAAACTTACCTTTCCAGCTCTTAACTGTATCTTATATTCTGAAGAATCTTAAACGGATGGAATATTTCGAGCATGGGTAGAGATTTTTCCACGTGTACCGTATAAATGCTGACCTTGTATCTAGTACAGCTTTGATTCAGTAGTTTCTGAGCTTTCACTACTGATATTCTAGCTACATTTGACAGAAGATTCCACTATTTTTTAATGCAGATGGGCTTTAGTGAAGGATAAGGAAGTTTACCTTAACATGCTCGAGTACTTGCAACTGGCAGAAATGGGCGTCTCAAGGGATACTCAGTTGAGAGCTCTCCAACTTCTCAAAGTAGTTCTTGAAGGCGATGGCAGGGAAATATTTCACTTTGCATATGAAAAAATGAGAGACCGGTGGGAAAATATTTTCCAGACTGTATCATTGTCCAAGCGTTTTACTATCCAAGAAATTTCACCTCAATACTGCAACTTCTTTGAGAAAATCAGGGATCCATCTCCAGGTGATATTTAAATTAGATGATAGTATATTGAAATGATTGTTTAGACAAAGAAATATTTAAGTTAAATAGCATAATTAAACTCTAAAAATGAAAAGAAAAAAGTAAGAAAAATAAAAGAAAGTGAAAAAGGAAATTCGAGGCAACTGAAAACACTTTCTCCTTGAGACAAAATTGCCACATAACAGTGCTAACGGTTTATGTCACTTGTCTCCTAAGATACAACATATACAATTGTGGTTGAAGCACTTCAAACCACAAGCAACAACGAACTTTGAACGATAAATTTCCTTCTGAAAGAAAATATTTTTGGAATGGCTTTTGGAGAGTATTTTGCAAGAGTTTTTGATGTAATACTCAATGCAAAATGATATGGGATGAATAATAGACGTCTAAAGAGTCATATTTATCGAAGAGAATGAGTTATGAGTGAAGTATCACGCTCTAAACTCAATAACCTTCACGAAAGGAAGCATCCTTGCTGTTGCTAGCCTCTCTGTCTCGAGTAACAATGACACATATTCAACAGAACCTCTCTTGCTCACATGTCGCTTGAGCGATATGCGAATTATGGAGTTAGGCATTTTTCCGGTCAGTTTTTTCCTCTTTTCTTTCCAATTTTGGACTGTAATTTCTCATTCATCCGGAATTGATTTTAAGATTCCAAATATATCACAATAATCTACTCGACGAGTAGAACAAATAAATCTATTTATATTTATAATTTGACTATGGGATCAATTTCGAATATTTGGTCGAAACTGATACAAAGTCATTTTTAAAGGTTTATACTTAACCAAAATTTCAATTCGTAAAACTAAATTCCAACAATCCCCCACATGAATGAAAATTCAAATATGTTCATGCAATGCAAAAATATGATGCACTGTAGAGAAAGAGAGAGCAGAAAAATACTGCATCAAGTAAGGTAGCTTTCGGCCTTGAGTCTTCCTTAGTGAAATACTACCGAATTTACTTGGCTAATTGGTGAACGTGATTACGTGATGTTTTGAACCATTCAACCGTTGGTGTAAACCAAGACAATAATACTCACATAAATATCTTTCCTAAATCGTTCATGGTTCTCATAACTTAGTTCATATGGCCCTAAATCGCTATTAGGTTTCATAAGTGTTTAGAAAATTTTAGTCTTTAAACAATTTTTATTGAAGCGGCCCTATCTATTAAGAGTATTCTACCATACTCCATTTGACTTAAACAAAATATAGAAATCATTAAAATGATATTTTAACCTTTAACATTCTACAGAAATCACTTTAATTATCATATGAATGAATTAGGAAACATTTTCCCAAATGCTGCATTGAATTTTCGTAACTTAGTTATCCCCTTGAACCAAAACTTGGAATATTCATCAACAAGGTAGGGTTACCATTACAAAGATCCTTACGTAGTAGGTTTTAATCTCATTCCATTTGATAGGCAATATACTTGATCTCTCCGTAAACCTTTCATAAGTAGATCTAGATTATTTTCATTTGACTTCACACAATCTATAAAGATAATACCATTAGAGATTAGTTAATTAATCATATTGTGTCTATGACGTATATATCTAGACTTACCATTATATATACTGCTTTGAGCCCTTTCAATAACCGATTGACTATCACAATTTATACTAATTGAGATACTAGCTTAGGAAAACATGGAATATCTTCCAAGAAGTTACGAAGCCATTTCTCTTCTTCTCCGCTTTGTCCAAAACAATAAACTCCGATTCCATCGTTGATCGATCTATACACTTTTGCTTTGTCGACTTTCATGATACAACAGCTCCACCAATGGTAAATACATAACCACTAGTAGACTTAGAATTTTTGATATTGGATATCCAATTCGTATCACAATATTATTTTGATACCGCACGATATTTTGTAAAGTGTAATACATAGGCCAAGGTATAGTTCAAGTATCTAAGAATCCTTGTTAAAGGCTTCTAATGATCATGATTTGGATTACTTGTGAATTTACTAAATTTATTTACAACAAATGTTATATGCGGTTGAGTGTAGTTTGTAATATGCATTAGATTGCCTATAACCTGTAAATACTTTAGTTGTGACACATATTCACCTGTATTTTTGATTAAGTGTAAACTTATGTCAATAGAATTTTCGCAGGACTTTCCTCAAATGCATTATACTTTTTAAGTATACTCTCAATGTAATGAGATTGTGAAAGTATAATTTTTTCTGATGTTCTAGAGATCTTAATCTCTAATATTACATCAGCCACATACAAGTCTTTCATATCAAAATATTTCATTAACATTCTCTTGGTGTTTAATAGTATTTCGCGACTATTGAACATTATCGACATGTCATCTACATATAGACATACAATCACATAGGCTTTCAGTGTATGTTTTATGTATACATACTTGCCACAGTCATTTATCTTAAATTCATTAGACAACATCGTTTTGTCAAACTTTTGATGTCATTGTTTAGAAACTTGTTTCAATCCGTATAAGGACTTAACAAATTTAAAAATCTTTTGTTTGTGGTTAGGAGATTCGAACCTCTTGGGTTGTTCCATTTATGTCTCCTCTTCTAACTTAACATTTAGGAATGCTGTCTTTACATCCATTTGATGAATTTTAAGGTTATGTAATGCCACAATAAGAATTAGCAACTTTATCAAGGTGATTCTAGTTACGGGTGAGTAGGTTTTAAAGAAGTCAAGTACTTCTTTTCGTCTATATCCTTGACAACCAATTGAGCCTTATATTTGTCGATGGATCCATCCGATTTTAGTTTTTGTTTGAAAATCTATTTAAACTCTAAAGGTTTGTTTCCATGAGGTAAATCAACCAACTCCTAAGTATGGTTTTGCATTATAAAATCTATCTCATCATCGGTAGTTTCTTTCCAACGATGTGCTTCCGGTATAGATATTGTTTCATCGAAAGTCTTTGTGTCATTCTCTACTATATGTTAGAAAATCTGGACCAAATAAAGTAGATATTCTAACCCTTTTACTACATCTCTGTTCTTCCTCATTTGAAGTATCATTTGTAGTATCATAAGTTCTTTTATTTGAATTTACATTTTCCTTGAAAAATATTCTCGAAGAATGATACATTTCTCGATTTAATTATTGTTCCTTCACGTACATCTTGAATTTCAGATTTATACAAGGAAACGATAATACTACCAGTATTGGCGTATCCAATAAATATGCAATCAATCGTCTTAGAACCAATTTTCACTTAGATAAACTTGGATATTTCAACCTCAACCATACACCCCTACACTTTCAACTATTGGTAGGAAGGCGGATGACCTTTCCATAGGTCAAATGGATTTTTTCTCATTTTCTTAAGGGGGATCTTGTTAAGAATGCTATTTGTCGATAGAATAGCTTCCCCCTAAAAGTTATGGAGTAGACTCGAACTTATCAACATTGAGTTCATCATCTCATTAGGAATTCGATTTTTGCGTTCAACAACACCATTTGATTGTGGTGAGTAAGGTGTCGTTATTTGATAAATGATTCCATGCTCAGAACAATATTTTTCAAATGGTGCCCCGTATTCACCACCCCTATCACTACGAATAGTTTTTATTTATTTACCAAGTTAATTCTCAACTTTTGTCTAATAATGTTCAAATACATCTAAGGTTTTGTCTTTACTTCGTAGTAGAAAGATATAACAATACTTTTGTACAATCATCAATGAAAGCTATAAAGTATTTCTTACCACCTTCAGTTTGAATAAATTTCAAGTCACATATATCGTTATGTATTAACTTTAAAGGTGTCGTGTTTCTTTGAATTAAGTGAAAATGTGTTTTGCCCAACGTTGCTTTAATACATACTTCATATTTATGATTAGAATTAATCTTAAGAGTCGGAATTAAACTTTGATTCATAAGTTTGTACATAAATTTGTAATTAACGTGTCCTAATCAACTATGCCATAAGCAAGATAACTCAAGTATATAAGTAGAATTGGAATCTTTATTCATAATGCCTTTTGGTAAAATTGTAAGAATGTTCATTTTGAACATTTCTTCACTAAGATAACTTACTGATATACATATAATTTTTGGTAAGTACGAATTTGTTTGACACAAATACAAGTTTAAAGTCATTCAAGTAGAGACCCAAAACTAGGTTCTTGCAAATATCTAACACATGAAGGACATTATTGAGGACTAGTTCTTTCCCGGAAGTCATCTTCAATATGATCTTTCCAAGCCCTTCAATCTTTGAACTTGCAGAGTTCCCCATGACAGTTGTTCTCTTTTCAATTCATGATAGTTTGAGAATATGGTTTTATCTGCACGAATATGGTGGGTAGCACCTGTGTCGATCCATCAATCCTTGAATTACCAACCACGTTGTATTCAGAAACAACCGCAGATAGACTCATCTCTTGAACTCCTTCAGAATGTGTCTCTTTCAACTACATTTGCTTGTGTAGTCTTCTTTGACTTTCGACATTCGCTTGAACGATGTTCAGATTTTCCACAATTGTACTTCTTGGAATTCTTGGAATTGTCTCTTTTTGGTACAACATCAGAGATCTTATGTTTCTTGTTGACAACCTTCGAACCAGTTTCAATAAAATTTGCTCCAAGTTGAACCAATAGATTTCCTTTCGGTGTTTCTGTTGTCTTCCTCGATCTTCAAACGAACTATTAATTCCTCCAAATTCATCTCTTTGATTTTGTGCTTGAGAAAATTCTTTAAATCTCTTCACATATGAGGGAATTTCTCAATGATGGCTGCGACTTGGAATGACTCATTTAATTCCATCTTTTTAACATGTATGTCATGAAGTAGAACTTGAAGATTTTGTACTTGACTTATTAAAATTTTGAAGTCTAACATTTTGTAGTCCAAAAACTTGCCGACAATAAACTTTTTTGTTCTAACATTCTCGATCTTGTACTTTTCCAATGAATTACATAGATCCTTGGTTGACTCCATCGAACTATACACTCCATAAAGTGTATTGTCCAATCCATTTAGGATGTAATTTTTGCAAAAAAAATCCGAATGCTTTCATGCATCCAACACAATAATCGACTCACGATTATTTTCTTCTTGTACGGCAGAAGTTCTTTCTTTTAGGAACTTTTCCAAATTCAAAATAGTAAGATAAAATAACATCTTTTGTTGCCATATTTAAATTCCACACCTTCAAACTTCTTCGATTTTTTCACATGTAGGATGTGAGAGTTTGACATAGGTATGGCTAAAGGCATAGCCACATGGTTCGAACCATTTGTTGTTTGACTCGAAGTAATCTCAACAATATTCACTTATGTTATAAACACAAGTTCAACATTCAAAATAATGAAAGAAATGAATGGCACACAAAGACTTATTATAAAAATGAAGAAATGATGTCTAACAACAATCACAAACAAACAAATTTTGTCTTAAGATTGTTGGATGATAGTTTATTGAAATGGTTGTTTAGATAAATAAATATTTAAATTTAATTCTCAAGAGTGTAATTAAACTCTAGAAATGAAAAGAAAGAAAGTGAAAAATGAAATCAGAGGTAAGTGAAAAAGACAAAATTACCTCACAACGGTGCTAAAGGTTTACGGCACTTGTCTCCCAAAATACAATGACATAACTTGTGGTAGAAGCACTTCAAACCATAAACAACAGCGAACTTTGAACGAAAAATTTTCCCTCTACAAATATTTTTGGAATGACTTTTGGAGAGTATTTTGCAAGAGTTTTTGATATAATACTCAATACAAAATGATATGAGATGCGTAATAGACGTTCACATGGTCTTATTTATAGAAGAGAAGAAGTTGTGAGTGAAGTGTCACGTCCCAAACTAGCAACCTTCATGAAGGGAAGCATCCCTTACTGTCGCTAGCCTCTCACTCGAGCGACAATGACACGTGTACTTCTCTCGCTCGAGTGATACGCGAGCTTTGGAGTTAAGCATTTTTCTACCCGTTTTTTCCTCTTTTCTTTCCAACTTTAGACCGCAACTTATCATTAATCTGAAATTGGTTTTACATTCCAAATATATTAAGACGATCTACTCAACGAATAGAACGACTATCGAATCAACTCCGAATATTTGACTGAAGTTGACACAAAGTCACTTTTAAATGTTTATACTTAAATCAAACTTTCAATTCTTAAAACCAAATTCCAACAATTCACTTGACACATTCATTCCTACACATGAAAGTGTTCACCAAATTTTTAATTTTAAACAGAAATCTTGTTATTTTAATCCCTTCAATGTGATATCAATAGATTAAATAAACATGTGGTTCTAGAAAGGAAAACTTTCAAAGCTGAGAATTTTATACTAATGATCACAGCATATGTCTGGTTGAAATGTGAGAGGAAAGAAGACACAAATTGCAATGCTGTCCTAGGTGCAGCAAACATCAAAGGTCGTTCAGGTAACTTGTTCAATTCTGAAGATCGCTATGTACGTCTCAGCCTTCTTAAGAGTGACGATGACTTCAACTTGCTGCTATATCGTTTGAAAGAACTGGTTAACAAGGAAGATGGCACAGAAACAACGTGAAGCTGATAATCATTATCTGATTGATTGTTCAGTATGTTATCATTATGTAAATAATAAAATAATGTAATTATCATCTCTTGATGGAAAGGTCAATGCATATTGACCTTATATATGCTTAAACACATCTATGGAGATTTCAGTATTTGATTTCCGCACTTGTAAATTTATTAAACAGCAATATTGCTGCAAGTTGTAATGTGTCCATGAAACGATCTTTATCTTGAAAGTTCAGATCTTTTACTGCATACAGGGGCGGACGCAGAAGTTTAAAGTTAGGGGGCACAATCAAACTTGCAAAGAAATTGAGAGAAATTTTACTAACGAAGATATACGTTCAAAAAAATCATCCACGTGTAATTTTGCATCCGAAAATTTACATGGGATATAACTTTTTTGGATGTAAAATTT